TGAAGGTTGTTCCTGGAAATGCTGTAAATAAATACAGGTAACATGCTTTCACTGATAACGTAATCCTAACACGTGGCGTGAGAGTTAGTGCTGTGTAGCCAGCATGCTTAATACGATCGTTTGTGCTGAAGTCTTATCAAATTTCAAATGGCAGCGCTCTGTGTTTGAATAGATGCTTTTCAACCTTTATCTCTTTTATATGTTTACCATGGTTAAACATGGTGCATATTATCTATGTGTGTATGTAGGTGAAAAATCAACATTGTCTTTAACACAGTCTCTTACATAAGTAGGTTTTTGGAATCCCTTGAGGGTAAAAGATAATATGAGAAATGTAATCTATCTAACAACAAAAAAGTTCCAGTTTGTGCAGATGTTGTGGTCTCCTGGCTCTGTTGTTATGCGAGAGCAGTTCTTTGGTAGATTTGGAAGGAGAGGGTGATGCTTTTCTGCATTTTTGATGTCATTTCACAGAAATGATCCTCTAACTCTTTTTGTTTCTTCTTCACATTCTGAAATGCGGCACAGCTGTAAATGCATGTGAAGCTGATGTTTCTGTGGATAATCTGGATATATTTAACTTATAGATCTGGTTGTACCGGTGCTGCCAGAAAAGGCCATGAATGCCAAAAAGATGACCAAGAGGTGTGGAATGTACTTCAGTCCTGAGGATCTACTGCTGAAGATGTAACCAGTAATAATGAAGCACAGATACAGTTTAATCATAGATCATACAGATCATACAGTGCTAGATTTTCATCCTCCTTCTCCACCAGGTTGAGGGAGAGAAGACACCCTCTGTCACTTACAATTAAGATGGGTTATTATTAATTAACCAGGATTTCAGGGTTTAAATCTCATCACAAGGTTATTATGAATAACCTGCAGTTGATCAATGTTTAATCAGCTGTTGACAGACAGTGATGTTACAGTCGAAACCTTTCTTTCTTTGTTTGGTTGCCAGAAGCTGCGATTTGATGATAAGAGTGGGATTCTGAAGTTGGCCTAACTTACAAACTAGTTATCTATTAGATTGTTAAAATCGAACCCTGGATAAGATAAAATGTAACTCAGTCATGAAAACACCTTATTTATAAGGAACTACATAGGATCTTCTAATTCACAATATATACTACTGTTCATTTTTTTCTTTTCTTGAAAGAAATTAATACTTTTCTTCAGCATACTTAAAATGATGACAAAAGTGACGGTAAAGACATTTACGTTACAAAAACATGGACTTTCTATTTATCAAAGAATCCAGAAAAAAAGTATCTTAGTTTCCACAAATATATTAAGCAGCACACCTGTTTTCAACATTGATAATAATGCATTAAGTGACAATGTTACAGTGTTTCTTGAGCACCAATTCAGCATATTAGAATGCTTTCAGAAGGATCATGTGACAATTAAGACTGGCATAATGATTCTGAATATTCAGCCTATTCAGCCCAAACTATAAAATATGTTAAAATTTTGAATTGTTAACAATATTACTGTTTAACAATATATATTAATATTACTGTTTATATATATATATATATATATATATATTAGGGCTGGTAAGCGATTAAAAAATTTAATCTAATTAATTACATGATGTCATGTGGCGATTAATTAATCTAATTAATTGCAAATTATTCGCACATCAAATTTGGCTGAGAAATTATTCCAAAAAGATACTTTATTATTGTCATTGTTTTTATTGTCAAAGTCATTGTTGTGTAAAGCACCAAACAGACATTTCAAAAAGTAACTTCAGCAAGAAATATTTTTATAAAATGTATTGCATATACTCTTTTGGACTCTTTTGGGGGGGGGGGGGCCGTCATGATGGGACACACAGCCGCCACAACAGCACTTATGTTTTTTTTTTTTCCTTTTTATTCGAAACATCCCCAAACGCATTAACTATATCATGAAATATCTTTATTTTCACCTTTATAGATTATGTTGATCTATGATGGTCAAAGTAACCTAATAATGTAATCTATTAACTATGCATAAAACCTGTCTGTTTACTTAATTAACAGATATGGGTGTCATGCCATAACATATTTTTAATATGACTGAGTTTATATTTAATGTGAATAAAAACTTTGCAAGTTAGGCTACTAATCATAACACTTTCATTGTACAGAAAGAGAGCAAAGAACATTTACGTTATCAAAGAACATTTTCACACAGTCTAGTTCAAGCACTCTCAAAATTCCCATTAAACTCCCATTAAAAGCACTGAAGCTGTTTACACTATGAAATTAATATCTTACAGATTCGTACAAACATTTGCACTTTGTTGTTTCTGACGAGAGAATTCGCCAGAAAGAGGTATTCAGTCAGCGAGCGAGTGAAGAAAACACCACGGCATTTTAGCGATGACTCATCTGAACACCTCTGATTGGTCATTGCATTCATAAGCTCAACAGCATAGTGTGTGATTGGTTATAATGCGCAGTGCTTTAAAACGTGTCTGTATCTCACTCAGCGCCAGCCAGCAAACGCAGATTTGAATCTAGCAGCTGATGATATGAGGCGCTGAATGTCCTAATCAGGCTGGTGTGATTGTATTAAATATAGAAAATACTAATCAGCTATTTTTTTGTCTTTTGGAAGCTACATTCAAAGTTCACTTGGCTCAAAAATTCACTTTGAATGGGCATGACGCCTTTGCTTTGAAGTCATACACTGATCGGTCTGTGCAGCGCCGCTTCAAATCCAACGTGCCTATGGCCAATGGTTCAACACGCCAAATGATTCACCCAATTCGTTCAAAACGTGCATTAAGAAATGAAATGCTGCTGTGTGTGTTGCTCGGAGACGAACAGTTCTGCTTTGTCTTTGTAGTTTCGTTGGCAAAATTGAGCAAAACAGACAACATTGTGTCTAAAATATCACAATATTAACTTCTTACTTACTGAACTGTTGTATAAGATCAGCATCACATTTGCATTTATGTGATATTGGACTGCTCGTGTGATATTGCTTAAAGCTGCAGTCCGTAACTTTTTTTGGTTAACGATTATCGAAATCAATATTTGAGCAAGTACATAACCAGCCAGCGTTCGAAACTATCGCCTTACTTTAGCCCGATTCACAAAGGTCAGCTTATAATAATGTTTTCTAATTTGAGTGGTACTGGTAGGTTTTCGTGGGAAATTCGAGCATGCCGTTGTGTCATTACGTCACTTCTGTGAACATAAAGAAGTTGTCCCGCTACTCGGCTATCGCATGTGAGGATCCTGCAGGTGGCGGATCGTTTATAGCCTTTTCTCTAGGGCTGGGTAAGCCCTTATGTTTTTTTTTTTTCCTTTTTATTCGAAACATCCCCAAACGCATTAACTATATCATGAAATATCTTTATTTTCACCTTTATAGATTATGTTGATCTATGATGGTCAAAGTAACCTAATAATGTAATCTATTAACTATGCATAAAACCTGTCTGTTTACTTAATTAACAGATATGGGTGTCATGCCATAACATATTTTTAATATGACTGAGTTTATATTTAATGTGAATAAAAACTTTGCAAGTTAGGCTACTAATCATAACACTTTCATTGTACAGAAAGAGAGCAAAGAACATTTACGTTATCAAAGAACATTTTCACACAGTCTAGTTCAAGCACTCTCAAAATTCCCATTAAACTCCCATTAAAAGCACTGAAGCTGTTTACACTATGAAATTAATATCTTACAGATTCGTACAAACATTTGCACTTTGTTGTTTCTGACGAGAGAATTCGCCAGAAAGAGGTATTCAGTCAGCGAGCGAGTGAAGAAAACACGACGGCATTTTAGCGATGACTCATCTGAACACCTCTGATTGGTCATTGCATTCATAAGCTCAACAGCATAGTGTGTGATTGGTTATAATGCGCAGTGCTTTAAAACGTGTCTGTATCTCACTCAGCGCCAGCCAGCAAACGCAGATTTGAATCTAGCAGCTGATGATATGAGGCGCTGAATGTCCTAATCAGGCTGGTGTGATTGTATTAAATATAGAAAATACTAATCAGCTATTTTTTTGTCTTTTGGAAGCTACATTCAAAGTTCACTTGGCTCAAAAATTCACTTTGAATGGGCATGACGCCTTTGCTTTGAAGTCATACACTGATCGGTCTGTGCAGCGCCGCTTCAAATCCAACGTGCCTATGGCCAATGGTTCAACACGCCAAATGATTCACCCAATTCGTTCAAAACGTGCATTAAGAAATGAAATGCTGCTGTGTGTGTTGCTCGGAGACGAACAGTTCTGCTTTGTCTTTGTAGTTTCGTTGGCAAAATTGAGCAAAACAGACAACATTGTGTCTAAAATATCACAATATTAACTTCTTACTTACTGAACTGTTGTATAAGATCAGCATCACATTTGCATTTATGTGATATTGGACTGCTCGTGTGATATTGCTTAAAGCTGCAGTCCGTAACTTTTTTTGGTTAACGATTATCGAAATCAATATTTGAGCAAGTACATAACCAGCCAGCGTTCGAAACTATCGCCTTACTTTAGCCCGATTCACAAAGGTCAGCTTATAATAATGTTTTCTAATTTGAGTGGTACTGGTAGGTTTTCGTGGGAAATTCGAGCATGCCGTTGTGTCATTACGTCACTTCTGTGAACATAAAGAAGTTGTCCCGCTACTCGGCTATCGCATGTGAGGATCCTGCAGGTGGCGGATCGTTTATAGCCTTTTCTCTAGGGCTGGGTAAAAAATATAGATCTCTCGATTTTAATCGATTCTCATTTTTACGGAACGATATCGATTCTTAAATCCCAAGAATCGATTAGTCTAGCCTGAGAGATTTTCTCTCTTTTGTTGTTTGATTAACATAAATGACAGACAACAGGAATATTAGACTGCTGTCACTCTAAGAGCTGCCTGGATCCAATATACTGTTACACATGTTTTTTTCCCCCCAGCTGTTTGCTTTAATTTAAGACCTAAATTACTGTGTTTACGAGGATACTTGCAAAGACAAGCATTTCGACACATACAAGTGTGTGTATTTAACGGTTCACATCCTATAAAGTGGCAAAAATAACTCATACTCCCGTTCAAAACTCCTGCGCTCTATGAGCACCGTCTTCATGTGTATTAAGCATATCAAGGTTCTGTAGACATTCATGACACTTTATTTGGACAAACACACATATATTAATTCATGATTTGAACATTAAACCCATTGACATCCTGTACATGCACATTCCATCTGAGCTGTTAGAATGCTGACTGGAATAAGTCCACTCCATTAAAACATGTTATTCACTCTGTTTGTGACTTCCATGTACAAGCCCTAGACAGACAACCAGTGCTCTCACTTATGTGCAAAACCTCTATTAAATAAACGTGACAACATTTAACATCACCTGTCAGATTGCACTAAAACATTGCATAAATACTTTTTTGCTCTGCAAAAAAAAGCTATAAATTCAGTGAAATTAACAATATAATGACAGATCTAAAACTGATCCATCACCCAAATATGTTGATGGAATCACTATTCTCGATATTTCCATGAAAATATAGGAACAGCTGAAATATCACGTTAACAAATGTGAAATGAGCTTAAATGACATCTCTGCTTCACTGTATGTCTTATACGTTCACCTTTTAAGACTCTCACCTATCATACATATTATTTACATAATATTTGATCTCCCTTCCAATTAAGTCCTCATGATGAGGGCAATAAAGAGGTCATCTGTTAGGATGATCACATCTCTTTTGTTAGATTGTAGAATCCTCGATGCCCCTGGCAAAGAGACGAACCAGCTGGCCATGAACTCTGTAGAGAGAGAGTCATATCAGGAAACATTCAAATGAGAAGATGCAAAATTTTTGGTTTCAAACTCCTAAACTTCTACTTGATGTCATAAATCAAATTTCATGTGATTTGCTTACTTCATTGGAGCCAGATAATAAACCGGTAAAGTTCTGTTCAAATGACTGGGGTCGGAAAAATGTGTTTTATTGTTTTTAAAAGAAATCTCTCTTGCTCACCAAGCCAAGGCTGCATTTATTTGATAAAAAATACAGTAAAACACATTAATATTGTGAAATATTTTTACAATTTATAGTTAGTGTTTTCTATTTGACTGTTGGGGTGGGCTAATATGACCAAAATCTTATATCACAATATGAGTACTTTTATTTAATTGTAAAGATATATATCACAATATAGTTATTTTTGCTTTAAATAAGGTTTTTATTATATAAAAATTTGATACCATAGAAATTTCATAATTCTTGTCACCTGTGTCAATATCACAAAAAAACTCAAGCTCACTGAAGACAAGTAAACAGTCAGCAATTAAATAAGAAACAAATTACAAGCAATATGACAAAAAAGAACAGTAGAACAAATAAAGAAGAAATTCTACATACATTGTATAAAGTAATCAAATATAAAACACTGCTCTTCACTGTGTAAATTAAATAGATTTCTTCTTATTAAAGTTACAAAAGTGATTTAGTCAAGATCAGTGAGAGATTTTCTTTCTTTTGTTGTTTGTTTCACATAAATAACAGCCAGCAGGAATATTAGACTGCTGTCACTCTAAGAGCTGCCCAGATACAATATACTGTTACACGTGTTTTTTTCCCCTCAGCTGTTTGCTTTCATTTAAGACCTAAATTACTGTGTTTACGAGGATACTTGCAAAGACGAGCATTTCGACACATACAAGTGTGTATTTAACGGTTCAAATCCTACAGAGTGGCAAAAATAACTCATACTCCTGTTCAAAACTCCTGCGCTCTATGAGCACCGTCTTCATGTGTGCACGCATCTCATAAACAGTCTCTCTGACAGTGCGTGCATATAGCTAAATGAGTTTGATTTCATTGCTGATTGCATTTCAACGGCTTAAAATAACTTGTTTTCAAACTGCAATGCTTAAAACGCATGCTAACCATACGCTTTCATGACCATGTAGCACAGCAGCATCATGTGAGCATGTAACCGCGATAGAGACGATAGTCGAAAATCTCTACCGGTTAATAGTGTCTACCGGTATATTGCCCACCCCATTTGACTGCATTTTAAAATAGACTGCATTTATTCCTGTGATGCAAAGCAGAATTACTCCAGTCTTCAGTGTCACATGATCTTTGATCTTTAATTTGGTTCTATTATTATTGATGCTTCAAAAGAACAGCATTTTAAAATGTTTTTAAATAGAAATCTTTTGTAACATTACAAATGTCTAATCAATTCATCCTTGCTGAAAAAATCCTAACCCTTTCTAAGATTTTTTTAAGATTACCAAGATTTTAGAGCCTGACATCTTCAAATCTTACGTTAAACTTTTGAATGGTAATATGTGATTACTATATATTAATAGCAGGATCGAGTTTTTTCATGTAAATTGCTACTGAGTAACTGGATTAAAATGACATAAATTGCCTTTTTTTTTTTTTTTGCATGTTAGCTATGCTTCTCCAATTAAATAGCTCAGACTTGCTCAGCAGACTGATCTTAATACCTGCATGAGATCTCTGTGTGAGGTAGAATTTCTCCATCGCAGTTCCACACTGATATTGAGCGAGGTTTAGTGCAGCAGGGCCCACACACAAAGCCTCGTCTCTTTACTCTACTCGTTGTCACATTTCCTCTCTCCTTCCTCCCTGCAAGATGCTGCTGTGAGTGACCTGCAGCGTTGCTACTGCTCAGTTTCTCAGGATCCTCCAGTACTCTCTCAGCGGAGGCTTGAATTTCTCGATCACCCTCCTCCTCCTCCTCCTCTTCTTCTTCTTCTCCTCCAGGGGGTAGAGAAAACCGAACAGCCTTGACACGATGAACTTCAACAAAGGGCAGGTCAAACTGAAAATATTGAAGTTTTGTTTGTCTGACTGATTCAACTTTTAGCTGAGAGTTAGTGTTCTTGAATGTCATTTGGTTTTACCTGATCCTGCGTGTTTGTGTGCCTGTGAAGATACGTGAGAAAGCCCAGAGGGTTTGTTTCTCGCACCAGGATGAGGTCTGCCGTCCCGTCGGCCAAGTGAGCGGATGGCGAAAGACCCTTTGGGCTCCGTGGACATGAGCTTGAAATACAGGCGAGAGAGATACACTTGAACCTGCCTTCAACAGTCACCCACTCACCTGAGATAAAAAAAATAACAAAAGGTTCAAGATCCTAAAATCATTTAATCAGTAATTCTAGTCTACATCATAACTGCATGATGTCTTTGTACTGTAGGTCTACCCAAGCACACTTGGGTACTTACATGACAACGGTCAAATACAGACGTACAACATATGAACCCCATAGAGACACAGCACAGTGTGATCCCAGTAATAGGTCTCTAATGAGATGATGACACAGACAATCATTATACAAACAGACAGCAGATGGTCTTACCCTCCAACTCACTGCTGTATTGGCTCACATTAGTGCTGTAGAGGGAACTGGAGCTTTCAAAGTGGGGGAACAGCCTCTCTTTGCTCTCTGAACATACTCTGCACCTGCAGTTACACACGCAAACGGTATATTGCAAATGCTTTTAAACATTTGTTGGAGCTGTAAAAACCAAGACGTTGTGTATTAGCTGGTCAGAGTTATCCGTGAGGACTACCATTCTCAATAGTGGTTATTTGGCTGATGCAAGACCCCACAAAGTATGCAATTTAAATCCTGCTATCTTTGCTCATGGCCATGTAATTCCACATACAGGTTAAAAAAATAAAAGATAAATGAATTAGTATAAAACATTAATACATTAAAAAATATAAAAAACAAACATAATATTTTTCATAATTTAATTGATATTTTCATTGATTTGTAATGTATTATTTAATTGTTATTTTTATTTTTAAACATATTTTTTATTTTCATTATTAATATTTATTACTATTATTATTGCTCCTACAATTTATTAAATAAATGTAAAACATAATGTCATAATTATATAGGCAATTTTACAGACATTAGGCACTTGTGAGTGTTAAGTATAAATAAAATTTGTATAAAATAGTATTAAATACATAAAAAAAATTATAAATAAAAATGTATTTATAAATATATATTTTTATAATGCTATATATATATATATAATTAAATTTGAGTTCTTATATAATTATTTTTTATTAATTTTGATCTATTAAAATGTATTAATTTATTTTGATCTTTATTAATTATTATTATTTGTATATAATTTAACTCACATTAGGTGTTTTGTGAGTGTTGATTCCGAATGTTGTCAGTGGTAATTGAAAAAATAACAATGCGTAATATCAGGTTGAATAACCCAAATTCCTTTAATTCAGCAGTCTTTGTTTTTCCTTTAAAACTAGCAACTAGCACTTCACCAGCTACTCTTCTTCCATCATTAGAGATCATATTGCTTGAGCGGTCATGGTAACGGCCCTACGGAAGGATCCCCACTTCAGAAAAACACTGAGGAATTCCAGCCACTTGTGTTATGTTGATGAGGTGCCTGCCTCTAATCAGTACACTAATATCCATAAATATGAGCCCAACACTAGTCTATCCATATCAGTCATGTGGGGTGTGTTAATGTTCATACACAGTTCTGAGTTAGTCATATCCTTCCAGTTCCTGGGAATTTGCACTGTAGGGTTTTAACAACCTGTTCTCAAGGTCAATAACAGAACGGGAAATACTGACCATTCAACCTACTTAAAACTCTTTTTAAACTCAGTATATATATACTCTCTCTCTCTCTCTCTCTCTTTCTCTCTCTGTATATATATATAGAAAATACTATTTAAGTCTTTCTAATTCAAAATTTCAAGTTTACCTCGATTTGTTACTTGCTGTTTCTTTGAAATTTACTAGCAATTTCTGAGTGAAAAGAATTTCACTGTATTTCACTGTTATATATGCAAAAAAAAATAATTTCACTGATATATATGCAAATAAAATGTTTCTAATGTGATTTCCAGGTAAAAAAACGAATGCAAATCTTGACCCTGAGAGGCAGCGAGTGTTGTCCCTTGGGCTGGAGATATGGGAATCAGCAGGGAGATATTGCACTAGTCCCGGATAGCTCCTGTTACACAAATACACCATACAACCTACAAGCAGAGCAAACAGACATGGGAACATGAGCAGAGATGGGATTGAGGTCTCTTTCTCTTCTCACAATTATGATTATATGTATTAAGGTAAGTAATAAGTGTTGACCTACATATCAGTTTTCAGTCTAAACTATATTTGCATATAGTATATACTATATCGTATATATACCTGAATAATCATATCTAAGAGGGCCCATCCAGCGGTGCCTCTCGCTCTCTGCCAAAACATCTCCATAAAAACCATAACCCACCATAGAGACTGAATAACGCACCAGTGTTGACTGATAATGGACAGAACACACATCCAGAGGCTGAGAGTCTCCTGGTGAGTTAAAAAGGGAAAACGATCGAGTTATATACAGTAGTCTAGTCTTGACCGACATTTTATTGTTTACATTTTGACACCCGTTAAAGATGATGTGCAGATTACCAATGATGATGTGCAGCGTCGATGTCACAGGGTCATTTATGCCTATGGTAGTGAAACACACACAATCTGTAGAGCCTGTGGAGATGAGTAAACACAGGGAGGTAAACTAACACTCCTCTCACTATCTAAACCATGCATCAGTGCTATGAACAGACCACAATCGCCACCCTCTTCCGCACGCATGTCAGTCACAGAGCTATGCAAACGTTCACCTCCTGGAATAATGCCAATGTGGAGGTCACACGGCTGCAGCATTACAGTCGGCTCGTGTTCTGAAATTCCCGCCTCCTTCTGGGTTCGTCCAATCACACCGTGCAGCAGCTCACTGAACATGCCGTCTCCACCCACGCATATGACTCTGAACAGGAAAAAAAGATTTGACTTCCTAAAACCTAAATATAGAGTATTCTCAGCAGACTTGATCGAAATATAGTGATGCATATTTCTACGATTGCCTTGCAGGTATTAAGGCAACACTTCTGCTTTAACAACAAAATACAGGGCGCATGTGACATGAATTATTACAATGACACCATTGTTACCATACATTCTTGAATCTTTATTCGTAAGGAATGACCACTGAAGGATCACTTACCCATCAAACCCTGTTACATCTTTCTTCAGGATGTAGTCTCTGGCCTGATTTGTACGTTCAGTCACTAAAAACAAGAAATATCACCCAGTTTTATTTAAAATCGCTCTGTATCTTTGTTTAATGAGGTTATATAATGTGAAACCTTGTTTGCCTTGATCTTTTGAAATAAGAGAGTTGTTCTATGTATGAATTTTTAGTACACAAAACCAGTCCAGAAATTTAATTTATTAAATTACATTAAATGACTCCTACAATTATTGACAAATGAACATTACTTAATTACTTAAAAAAATGTATTATAATAAAATAATCATAAATAATTTTTTATTAATAATAATTAAACATGCTAGGGATATATACTACGGCTATGTGTAGTAAATGCTGCTCCATCTGAAAGCACGTGATGATGATTTCCTGCTGATTACAGAACCGGGTTTTTTTAAACAAAATGCGCATGACAATCGCATTCGATTAATCGTGCAGCCCTAGGGTATACCGTGTTTATTGTCAAGGCTGGTACTGTTCAACTTGTTTTGAGGTCATTAGAATGCTAAAAAGTCAAATTGCCAGTAAAGAAGGACTTTTAATCATTATTTTCATTCATCAGCTGAGCGTTGAGCAATACACTTATGTTTTTGGATTATTCTATTGAATCCAATCCAACTCTGTCTCTGGATTATGTTGCAACATCTATACTTTAATGCAAATAAATTAAATTCAAATAGAACTATGGATATATAGTGCACACAGTATGACTACACTCTAAAAAATGCTGGGTTATTTCAACCCAACTTTGGGTCAAATATGGACTAACCCAACAGTTGGGTTAAATTTTTACATTAAAATTTTAACCCAAAAATTGGGTTAGTCCATATTTGAACCAAAGTTGGGTTGAAACAACCCAGCATTTTTTAGAGAGTGTACTCTTTTTCTATATTTCTTGTCAATAATTAAACTAATAAGAATGATACACTCAGCATCAAATCATTATATGGCGGTTAATCATCTTCATATAAGCGATTGGTGTGTCAAAGGTACAGTCAGTATGTTTTTGATCATAAGTTTTTGTTTATATTTAAGTGTCTCTTCTTCATCCAAATACTAATTATTAACAGCAAATTATTTTAATATTATAAAAAAATAATCTTGTCACTTATTAACAGTAAATGCTGTTGACTTGGGCTCTTATATTATTAAACGTATTTTTGTTATTAATATCAGTACCTCAGTCCATTACGTACAAAGGTCGTCTTTTTCTTTAGAAGACAGCTTCATCTCATGAGTAAATCATTTTTATATTTCTCAAAAGTGCTATTTATTTCTTTGTGTTTATAATGACTGCATGAATAATGGTACATTATGCATTTTAATTATTATATTGCAATTAATTATCTACCAAAATAAGAGTGACTTTAAGTAGCTGATGTCTGATGACTGATGTCAATGGTGCACTTGTGTTTCAATGGCTCGTCTTCATCTCAATACCAGTAGTTATCAGCAAATTATTTTACATTTTTTTGTTATTTAGTAAAAATAAAAGCTGTTGACTTGGGCTTATAATATTAAACATTACTGTTAATAATATTAGTAACACAGTCCATTAAGCACAGCTGGTCATGTGATGTCAACATGGCAGCGCCCAAGAGGGGGCGACCTGCTTATAGATACATTGAGAAAAAAAAAAGACAAAGCGTTTTTATCTCATGTGAGTAAACATAATTTTTTATATTTCTCAAAAGTGCTATTCATTACGTTTATACTTATCAAAAAAAATGACCGAGTGCGCCTTTAATCGAATAATAATTCAATGCATTTAAATGATTTTGCGGTTACTCGTCTAGGCCTACATATAATAGTAACTTAAAGCAAATAACATTCACAGCCAACAGTATAGAATCTTTCTTTACCATGTAATTTCGAAATACATCCTAAGCACACCCACAATATGATCTTGAGTACACTTATTAGCGTTTTAACCGATTAAGAAATGTAGAAACAAGATATAAACCAAATATTTCTACCAAGCTATCTGATTTAAATAACAAACAACTGTCTTAAAATTGAGTGAGCTGCCTACAGCACTTCGATCGCATCAGCTGTGTTTAGAAAGATAATGAATGTCTACTTGTTTTCTGCTCCCGGTTCGTCTTGTCGATCTCAGTCCAGCTGAAGTACCATCCGCTTAGGAAAGCCCTGTACCGCTTATTACCGATCCACAGACTAGACTCAACTCTCAACGAATCCATCTCCATCGTCTATCTTTTACTTTCATTTATCTATTCAACTTCATGGTCCCTCAAGCATTCAGCGGTATTTTTATTCATGCAAGAATTTCGAAGTTGGTCAAGAAGTCTAACATTTGAAGCGAATAAATACAAGCATAATGTTTAGACGTCCGAGGGTAATAAATAAGTTTAGGTAAGGTAAGTTCCGATACATTAACCCGGCTCCGTCTTCTTTGCTGTCATGTGCTTTACCTATTTGACTGTTCGTTACAGGTTTTGTATAAGACAGGTTCACTTCACTGTGAGGCTGCGCACCTGTCCTGGAAATTTGCATACGCAACTCTGATTGGATAAGCATCTATGAATATGCATTGGGTAACCGTAATTCATTGTATCCGCCACTTTCAGCTCATTCAGAAGCGTTCTTTTATAAAGTTAATTTAGACTTTATAAAATATAACATTTAATTTACGCTGTCTAGTGTTATTAGTCATTGGTCATTTTAAATGTAGGAATAGCTACACTTGACTATTTGTGCAATGGTGGGCGGAGCTAGTGAAATATACACAAACGCTAAACAGATTCTTTCGAAATATATGTGATGTGTGGATAGATAAAAAAAACTATAAAGTTAATTTAGACTTTATAAAATATAACATTTAATTTACGCTGTCTAGTGTTATTAGTCATTGGTCATTTTAAATGTAGGAATAGCTACACTTGACTATTTGTGCAATGGTGGGCGGAGCTATAGTGAAATATACACAAACACTAAACAGATTCTTTCGAAATATATGTGATGTGTGGATAGATAAAAAAAAAACTGTATATCCTGCTGTATAGCTATGACAAAAAGGATATTTATGTAAGCTTGTCCTTCTGCAACCTTTGTTTTTACTGTCAACATGCAGTTTGTGACTATCTGGTGTATGACTAGATGACATGACGGTTGAAATGTGTTATGAAGTGTGTGTGTTTTTTGCAGGATACAATAGATTAGTCTGAACACATATAATAAGAACATCAGATGTCAAAACACAAGTGTCAGGCTTGCTTGACTGCATTAAGCACACCTTACTCATCTTTGGTCTATTTTTTGCGTTTCTTCTCTTCCTTTATATAAACCAGGAAAGTTGACTTTCCTGAAAGGCTGCTTAACTCGCCTGCCTGCAAAAGTTCCTGCAAAAGACTGTATCTCCAAACAGAAATTAAACAGTCATCAAATCGTTTTTTTGTTGTTTTTGTCTTCATGTTCTATGTTGGTATAAAAAAGTTGCATGCATCCTTTGTCACTATTAATTCTTTTTTAATATGATGGCATGCCATTGTGTATATTAATGTATATTAATTGCAATGGGAATGACACAATAAAACATATACCCTTCCCAAAAAAACAACAACCACTTTTTAGTATTTTCCAGTCTGTTTTGTAATGTACTGGTGACTGTATCCTGTATTTCAGAACAGTTACTTATAACTTCCAGCAGGTGGAGACAACGGTTTAGATATGCATATGTAAACAACTACACCTGATATTGGTTTTGTAAATTTAATGAGATACTCGTTATAATAAATACGATTATTCTGTAAGATAATATGTTTTACTTTTACGTTTTCTCAGATTATTTTCCGATATTCATGTGTTCCTTCCAGGCATAATTTTCCCATCCCAAGCTCTCATTTTGGCAATTTAGCTGTGAGGGCTCAAACAAAGTTAATCCAAAAGGAATGTAGCATGAATGATTTAATTACAGTCAGCTACATCGTCAGATGTAACAATCTGACATCCATTTCGTGTCGCAAGCAACGTGCATCTGTATTTTCACATATAGGCCTACACTGATGCATCTTGGCTGCTTTCTCAATAATCATTCTTTACAGTCTTGTTTTGGAGTTGCTAGAGGAAATCCAGCTGGGCAGATGAAGTCTAAATTAAAAACAGCTGCTCTAAAATCTCACCGCAAGACAGAGGCATACTTTATCCCCGTTTTGGATGTGACTGGGCATGTAAACAGATCCTGTGCAGATGTCCTTGTGATATTGTTTGGAGAAAATTCTGAATGGCTGAACTGAAAGAAATGACAGAGGTGATCAGGGGGAGTGTGGGAAACTTCTTTTGAGATTAGGTTTGTGCACTAACTGGATCTACTGACATAAGTTGTATAGGCTTATATATGTGGCCATAAAGCTACATTGTAACATATGATGTCCAAATGCTTTTTGATGCACTTGTTTGAGTAAGTTTCTAATATAGCCAAAGATAGGCAGCCACCATCGCTGGTGGTTTCACAGTTTTATAGATGTATAATTTGCTCTTTCTTTCAGGAAAAGGAGGTCCATGTTATTTTATGCTAGCTGTGCCAGGATGATATAGATCTTAAAGACTGTGCTGAAGAGTCTGCCAAGAGAAATGTGAAAATATGTCAACTGAACATATATGATGTAACTCAAGTTTACATTTTTGACAGAGAGAGGTATTTTTGGGCCAAACCATAAAAATGTATGTAATGTTGTAATCAACATTGACATCTTCAGCAGAGACTTTTAAAAGCATCGTGGTGCTACTGCCACAAAAAAAGTGATCTAACCAAGAGCACATTTATTTGAATAGCAAACAATAAACATTAAGCTCATGAACAGGCATCATAATCAAATATGGTCACTTTTAACTTTGGAATAGGTTTGACTACAAAACAACCATACTTTCAGAAAACAAATAATGCAAAAATTACCAAAGTACTGCAATAGTCATTAGAAATTGTGAACATTTAATTATAATAATCAACTTTATTAATGCTTCTTTATGCATCTTTCAAAATCCAGCTAAAGTGACAATTTGCAAATATGATTACTAGATGATTCATAGATGTAGAGCTGTAAATTCAGGTTTGCTTTTTAAATAATATTTCAAAGCGAGACGCTTTCTGATTATTTGTCATTTGATGTTGTTTTAAAATATGATGTCAAATAATTTAGCCCCTCACACCATACCATTTTAAACAGCTAAAAAAATCTCTAAAAACAACACTACACAGGTAAAATTATTAAATAGGCCTAATTATTAAAAAACAAAACTTACTATTACAAATGTAAGTGTCCCGCATTACCTGTATTCACCCTTGGTGTAACAAGCATGAATAGGCAAAGGTGAAGTGTTTTATTAAATATTGAGCTTATTTTTTATAATAAAAAAATGACACAACAGGCATTGCAGATTAATTTGGTTATAGTGTAATTATGGATTTTGTATTTTTAATACATTTTTAAATGAGCTTATTTGCATTTTTTTTAGACAGCTTGTAAAGTCACAGTACAAAACATATGTTGTGTATTTTCATGTAAACTTTCAATTGGTGAAGAGGCGTATAGTCCAGCTGTAAAATCCCGCTCCCGGAGTGCCATTACGCCTTTTTACGCCATTCGCTGGTAGGCTGTGTCTCAAATCCTAGTGAGCTGCCTATCTAGACAACATATTTGGGCGACATACTTCTGGGCATCGTATACGTTCCGAGTGGCTTTTCGCGTCTGCTGAGCAGACCTCAAATATGCTGTCCACCTAGGCAACTCTCCATGATTTGAGACATCAGTTCGACATTATCGCGCTGAAGTGATCCGCTAAGGCAGTGCATGCTGAACTTTCTGCTGCCCGTAGGAAAGTGGGACCAAGAGAACAAAACGGATATTCACAAGTCTACCATCGGTTTCTCTTCGTGTTATCTCACAAGGACTCAACAGCAGACGGATTTCTTTCTTTTTTGGTAAATGAAGTCCCACCAAGTGTGGGACGGAGAAGCGACGGCGGCCTTGCTGTAGAAGAAACTATTTGAGAATATAATTCTCAGTGGCTTCACAAGTGACGGACTTTGATTTTCCCAGCGGCGTGTTTGGAGACTTGCTGGGTTGGCAGAAATGGGAACGAGGATACGTGCCCATAAACTCACTCTTTTTATCATCCCTTTGATATTTACATCGCATCTGTTTAATGTAAGTGATTCATCTGTATTTTTATACTCTTTTAATATCACACTGCCCTGCCATTTTGTAATCGGTAACTGTATCAGTAGAAATCCACGCGCAAAGTTACTTTGCAAAACTTTGCGTCGTTATATCCATTGTCACTCCGTTCTTTTCGCAACATTTAGTAAATCGCGAATTGTATCATGTTAACGTTAACGTTACGAAAGGTGCATTGATCTCACACGCATATCTAAAGCTCGACTCAAGTGTTGCATGTGTGTTCTAGTCCTGGTCTAATTTTATCCATAGAAACGAGCTATTCATAGTTGGTCTCACTGGCGTCTTGCATGTCTTTATACTTGATTAACTTTATTTCTTTGACACTCATTGATTCAGAGCACTTTCACTTTATAAAAAGTCATTGCTTCTGAATTTAAACCCCTATTATTAATGTTGTATACATTGTATAAATTCTGTAAGATACTGTTAACTCTGTAATGCCATATTTCATATCCAGTCCTGCACATTCATTTATTTCACCTTAATTAACTGATATATGTGTTATGTAATAGTTGCATAGTCTATATTTTTATTGTTTATTATAGTTGCAAGTGAAAAAGGAAGCGGGTTATCTTGATTATGGGTGGCATATTCTAACTCTATTCTGTGATTGCTTATTTCTCATGTTGTCATGATTAAAGCAATGCATGTAGACTGCATTTGTTCTCCTAGGCTTTTCATAAATCACATAAAAGCACAACTGCTGGAAAGACTTGCTTATTGACTCTCAATGTTTGTGTAAGGTGTAAAGTCTTTGAGTTCTTGCTTTTATTATGACATTGTGCATTAACTTGAGAGGTTTATACAGCAACAGTTTGATAAAGTATATTGTGATTAAAATAAACAGTGTCTCAATGAGACAAAGCAGCCAATCTAATGAGTAGGTATGAAAGTTAATGTGAAAAACAAATACCTACATCTCATCTTTCTTGGTACCTGTAATACTGTACTATTTCCAGCTTGCTGGTAGATTCATTTGAACTTTATTGCGCATGTAGGTGGAGAGTTAC